CGGTTGTCCGATAAATCAAGACGACGTAAATGATTCAATTTAGCGACGATCGTCGGGGGGACACTGTGGTCGTTGGTTAGCGCGTTGAAATTGAGCCACAGTTGCTGCAATCCACACAGCTGGCCAACGGCCGACGGGATGCGTGACAGATTGCAGTGTTTCAAGTCCAGAGTCTTGAGATGATACATCAGCTGAAACGCGTCGTCGTCGATGTGTAAATTAGCGTTGCACGCCAGGGAAATGAATTCCAAACTTTCCAAGCCGACGAGGTGTTGAAAGCTTAATTTCTGCAACGTTCTCTTGACCGCGACAGGATCGGAACCGGAACCGGATCCGGAACCGGAAGCGGCGGCCATAAGCAGATCGATATCGTGGTGCAAGTACAACCACCGTAGTTTGTACAAGTTCAAGAATCCGTGTGGCGGTAGCTGCTGGATTGGGTTGTTGCTCAGATCCAAGTACAGCAACGACTTCAGCGATTTGAAGGTCTCCTCGCCAAAGCTCGTGATCGCATTGTGACTCAGGTCCAGCTCTTCCAGCCTCCGGTTCCTGAAGGCCACGCCCTCTAGGGAACCGAGATCATTGTGCGGCAGGTGCAGTAGCTTCAAGTGTTCCAGGTCCAGCAGGCCGTCGATGATGCTGACGTTAGTATCGACGATCTTCAGGTATCTCAGGTGGGCGCAATAGGTCAAGAAATGAGGCACTACGCTGATGGCCGCATTTTCGATGGACACATGCTGCAAGGAGGACAGAAACCGGAAATTCTCGTCGCCGTCGCACAGCACTGAGAACCGGCTGACCTTCAGCGTGTTCAACGAAGTAACGGCGCCGAGGCTAGCACAAAGCTGCCAGGAGAAATGCGCCGTCTCCTGGCTACCGTCGTAGTTAATCTGCAACTGGCGCAAATCCCTGAAGTAGTTGAAAAAGTCCATAGAAATCAAAGTCTGGTCGTGTACGGACAGCTGCATGCTGACCACGTTGTATTTCGATAGTCCGAGAAGCATGTCCTGAGGCACCGACTGGTCGTGCAGCCGCAACTTCAACGAGTACACTGCCTGAGGACTAGGGAAGTTTGGGTGCCGACAGTTGAACGCGGTTGCCGCCCCCAACGAAGAGGCGCTTTCGGTCCAGATGGTGATCGGTGACGAGGATTCGCAGTTGACATTCGAGTCTACGGTCACCACACAGCGGCATTCTCCTCGCGAGCAAGTGCTCTTCGTCACCGGGATGCAACCCGGATGCGAGGGCGGCTGGTCCCCAGCACAGCATGTGAAACTGACGTGTGACGTGTTACACTGAATGCCGGCACAACCGCCGACATCCATTTCCTCAAACGACCAGGAGAGTAAAATGGCTTGCAGCAAAAGGCAATGCAACGCATAGGTAGCGGACATGCTTTCATCACTGTTTGGCGAAGGCATATGACGGACTGTTCCGGATGGTCATTCGACAGCGATGACAGCAATGGTACATCTGGCAGTGGTCAGATAAACAACGATGATCGAATGCGGTCACGTCGTGAAGGCGAAGAGACCACGGGACCACTTGGACATAACACCGAACATTGTGTCGTCCAATCTGAGGAAGCTATCGAGGTCGGTCGAGTGTCCGCTGATGACGTAGTAAAGGCCTGAGGAACAACCGAGGTGGCGACATGTGGACATTGTGGACGAGCGATCAGGACGTGGTAGAAATTGATATGGAACGGCAGCCGGAATGGCGAAGACCGTTTGACTGACGACGACTCATCGATTGGAACTGCCACTTCCTCGTCTGTTTCATCTGCGTTAATCTCGTGGCACGACGACGGTGCTGTCACGGGACATCGATCTGACCCTAGTTCCGGATGTACTTGACCACAAACACATCATGGCCTCATTTTGCTTGCGAGATGTAGGACAGCCTGTGTTACAGCCAGGATTGACCATCCATCACATGCCTATGATACGAATAAATATTGACATTCTTTGTAAACCATTGTATGCGACGAAATTGCGAAAAATTAAACAGTATATTAATGTCAACAGGTCATCTTTATGGAATAAATAAATCGGCATCCATAAGAAAATCGATGCCAGTTTGGTCGAAACGTCAGAATCTGTTGATTTAATTTTTTCTCATTCATAGTGCTGATAATTTTGGAATCAAAAGAGCGACGAAGCAGGCTATTGCATTATGCAAACAGGTATGCTATCAGCATACAGCAGTATTTCCGCAATTTGGCAGAAATAATCCTCAGCACCTGGAACGTACAATTGAAAATGTTCCACAATGATACGTTTCTGCTTCTTTGGTTACTTCGGAGTCCTGATAACGAAGGGCAGTATTGACCTGCGGCAATTCGATGACGTTTTGTTTTGGGCTACTAGGTAAACTCAACTTGTACCAAGTACTTGGTCATTTCCAAAAGTGCAAAGCATACTGTAGAGAAAATCTCTTTAGTGATTGGCTGCCGCCGCGTCTTGGTACATGAAACAGGTTACACTTACGCCGAAGTCTGACACGAACATTCTACTCTAAGGAGTCATCAAAGTATTGAACATTTGTGATAGAGGGCATCATCTGTCTCTTCATTTAGCCAAAGGCTTCAGCAACAATAAATCAATTGCAACTGCACTGCAATTCGACAGCAAGGTCGACATTAATCACTGCTATCCCTCAAAATGAAATACGACTTCAACTCTCATCGTTCGCTGACACTTGAATCGAGTAAATAAAAGGAACGACTTTTAGTTAGACAAACCTTCGGCCAAGTTAAGCTGATATAAGCGCAAAGGTTGAGACTGTGGATGGAATAAAGAGCCTCACATTCTTTAAATTAAAGAAACGAAAAATCAACGTCTTATGGATCGATAAGACGGTTTCTACGACTTAGACGGACGAAAGGGTGTTTACTCCTATGGTAGCCGACCAAGAGGCGTAGAAGAAATGAAGGTCAGTTTAAAAGTTGGCAAATCTGCTAGGGTATGTCCTTTGTCGAAACTGTTAATGCTTAAATTACGCCAAATATGAGCTGGTAATGTTGAAACATGTCCTACCTCAAAAATGACAATAAAAATACAATCATGAACCCACGGCAACCAAATATCTCACTGTGACGCCCGCGGCATACAACAGCTGTGAATTGTTTTCTTTCGGTGCCAGCTGTCTGCTGACCTTCTGTGTGCACAAAAGCTATCTCGGTGTTCACATCGTATCTAGCAAGCAGCGGTGAAACGAGCGGAACGCGTACAGGGTTATGTCCGGTGAAAGGTGCTCTCCTCGTGGGTCCGCTGACCATGAAGTTTTGTACCCAAAACCGGTCAACAGGAAATGAAGTCTCAGCGAGGGCTGACTGGCGAATATTCCCGTTTCGGTGAGGTAAATAACATAAGATATTTCACTCAAATTAAAAAAATGAACAACAGCACTTCAAGTCACTTTCCGTGTATGTTATCACTAGGACGACGAAGTTGGTCGTGCTGTGGCACCGTAGCAAAGAGGTCGATCCTAGTTCCAAAATTACTGGGTCAGAAAGCATAGAACCCTCTCTCTCTGTCCCCGCCCTTGAGCCAACATCTTTCCAAATATTGCCTCTGTGAAACTAAGTAAAAAAGTGGTAAGAAGTAGTGATTTGCGAATAATAAGTACAGTATGGTATTCTGGTCTTGTCATACAGGAGTCGACGAGGTGTTCGGCCATGCTGTGCTAGGCGAGTGTCCTTATGGCTGCATTGACTCACTGAAAAACTGACAATGAAGTGTAATTGTCAGCACGAGGTGTAATTCAGGTCAATGTAATCAAATAAATAACGCATGAAATAAATAAAGCAAATAAGTAAATTGGGTTCCAAGAAAGAGAAAATGATGCACAGGAAAACTAGCGCATCAGTGACAGTATGAACCAAAGAAGTTAGTGACATCAAGAAAGATAAGAACGGCAGAAAACGGAAGTTTATGGTAAAATCTCGAGAGGTCTTCGTTCACCAGTGAA